GAAGTGTATATACGACCTCCACCTGGCCTTTGCCATCTTTGTTGTGCTCTCTATGGTCTCAAGCAATCTCTGCGGGCATGATATAAGCGGTTGTGGTTTGTTGTTCTCCAGATTGGTTTCTGTCCTAGTCTACATGATTCGGCTCTTTTTGTTCGTTGTACTGCAACTGGTCTTGTTCTTCTCCTCTTACGCGTGGATGATATGATCATCACTGGGTTTGACAATAGTACTATTCAAGAGGTCAAGCAACAACTTCTTGAGGAATTTGAGATGAAGGATTGGGGGTCTCTTTGGTATTGAGGTTGCCTTTTCTGCTATTAGATATCTTCTATATCAGACTCAATACGTTAGTGATATCCTTTCTCTTGCTAATCTCACTGATGCCAAGGCTGTGGACTATGACGCACGGACACCTCTCCGAGGGCTCCGTACCAGTGTCAGACACGTGTCGGACATAGACACGCGGTGGACACGTGTTCGACACGCAGCAAAGAGTGTCTCATTTTTTTTTATAATTTTTTTACATCCGGACACGTTCAGGACACGTTATAGACACGTTTGGGACACGTTCGGGGGCAATTTCACAATTTACTAAATTTTTTTGGGGTCGATTTGTAAATAAACAAAAACAGATCAAAATATGTCCTAATCTACCTCGAATCTACTTCGAATAGAAGAGAAACAGCAGAGAAAGGGTGAGAAAGAGAGGACCTGACTTCGTCGTTCGTCGTTCGTCTTCTCTCCTCGTCGATCGTTGCGCCTCGTCGGTCGTCTGTCATTGGTCGTCAGTCGTGTCTCGCCCTTCGTCTTTAAGGTACGCCTCTTCTTCTTCGTCTCTCTTCGATCTGCGATCGTCGCTCTTCGATTTCCCTTAGTCGCTCTCTCTCTCTTTCAGCCTCTTCTTTCCTCAGTCGATCTTCATTCTTTGCCCTTCTTCTGATTTTATTTTATTTTTTTATTATTTTTTTCTTTTATTATGATTTTAATTTTATTTTTTTCTTTTATTTTTTTTTCTTTTATTCTGATTTTAATGTAATTTAATTTTTTTTTATATTCTGATTTTATTTTTTCTTTTCTATTATTTGAGTGTATAATTTTAATAATGTATGTTTATTAATTTTATTTTAGGAACCAATTTTTAATTCTAAAACAATGGCTACGGGTGGTAGTTCTAATGATATACCTGATGATGATTTTGATGAGAACAAACCATTGTGGAAGTATATAACTAAATTAGCAAAACCTGGGAAGGAGGAGGAAATTGCCAATTACAATGTAAATTTTGTAATAATACTTTCAAAGGTTCATATACAAGAGTAAGGGCACACTAGTTAAAACTCCCAGGAAAGGGAATTGGTGCTTGTAAGAAAGTGACAAATCAAAAACTTTCGCAACTGCAAAATGAGAATGATGTTGCTGAACTGCGAATTAAAAATGCTCTTTCCAAAAATGTACCATTGCCTCCTTCCACTGTATCAGTGGGTAGTAGTTATTCTTATGAATCAAAGAAGACGAGAACATGTGCAAGTGGGAGTGGGAGTGGGAGTGGGAGTGCTATTGAAAAAGCATTCAACTTGAAGGATAGAGAGCAATTGCATTTTGAAATTGCTAGGATGTTCTACTCGGGGGAGGGGTACCGTTTAATCTTGCAAGAAATCCTTACTATGTTAGCTCTTACACATTTGCTGCAAATCATGATATTCCTGGATATTTGCCTCCCGGTTATAATTTGTCATGAACCACATTACTTCAAAAAGAGAGGGCAAATATTGATAAATTGTTGCAACCAATTAGGGGCACATGGAAGGAAAAAGGGATGAGCATTGTTAGTGATGGTTGGAGTGATTCTCAAAGGAGGCCTTTGTTTAATTTTATGGCAGTGAGTGAAAGTGGGCCTATGTTCATTAAAGCAGTTGATTGTTCTGGAGAAACTAAAGACAAATATTTCATTGCAAATTTGATGAAAGAAGTGATTAATGAGGTTGGGCCAAGTAATGTGGTTTAAGTCATCACGGATAATGCTCCTAATTGTAAGGCAGCAGGACAACTCATTGAAGCTTAATTCCCTCATATTCTATGGACTCCTTGTGTGGTGCACACATTAAATCTAGCTTTGAAAAATATTTGTGCCGCAAAGAATATTGAGAGGAATGAAGTCACATATGAAGAGTGCAGTTGGATTAGTGATATTGCTGGAGATGGTTTGATGATTAAGAATTTTATCTCTAATCACTCAATGCAATTGACTATGTACAATGAATTTGTGTCATTGAAGTTGCTTTCGGTTGCCGAAACACGATTTGCCTCCATAATTGTTATGCTCAAGAGGTTAAAGCTTATAAAATGTGGTCTTCAAGCAATGGTAATTAGTGACAAGTGGAATTGCTATAGGGAGGATGATGTTGGGAAGGCAAAATTTGTAAAAGAAAAGATTTTGGATGATGTGTGGTGGGACGACATTGATTATATTCTCTCCTTCACGGGTCCTATATATGACATGCTTAGGGCTTGTGATACAGACAAACCTTGCCTTCACTTAGTATATGATATGTGGGACTCAATGATAGAAAAAGTGAAGATGACAATATATAGGCATGAAGGGAAAAGAATAGATGAGGAATCTACATTTTACAATGTGGTGCATCAAATTCTTGTGGATCGTTGGAATAAAAACAATACTCCTCTCCATTGTATGGCACATTCATTGAATCCAAAGTAAGTACCCCATTTAAATTTGTTTTAGATATTATCTTTCCACTTATCTTTCCACATTTAAAACAATCTAGTCTTTCTTGAAATAGTTATTTGTCCTATTTTGGATTGTAGGTATTATAGTGATGAGTGACTCCATGAGGATCAAAATAGAGTTCCTCCACATAGGGATGAAGAGGTGACACGTGAAAGGAACAAGTGTTTTAGGAGGTATTTTGAAGATATCACGGAGCGAACCAAGGTGATAACTGAGTTTGGAAAATTTTCAGGTTATGTTAAAGCATTCTCAGAGTATGATTCCATTCATAATAGGTGGCACATGGATCCTTATACTTGGTGGTGTGCATATGGTGCATATGCACCATCTCTTCAAAAACTAGCTTTGAGATTGCTTGTGCAACCTGCCTTTTCATCATGTTGTGAGAGAAATTGGAGTACTTACTTCTTTATTCACTTAGTGAGAAGGAACAAGATGGTCCCTCAACGTGCGGAGGATTTGGTGTTCATTCATAGCAATTTTCGTCTTTTATCAAGGAGGAGCTCCCAATACTTGCAAGGAGAGACCAAAATGTGGGACATTGCCGGAGATAACTTTGACTCACTTGATGATATTGGAATGCTTGGGATAGCTAACCTCTCACTTGATGAACCGGCTATGGAGGCGGTCCTATTTACAGATGAAGGAGAAGATGGAGGCGGCGGTGAAGATGTTGTAATAGTTTCTTCTACTTAGGTTTACATTTTTTGATATTTATGGATTTTGTAATAGTTGTTGGTACATTGAATAATTTTATATTTTGTGGTTTGATTTTCATGTATTTTGTAACAAATGATGGTTGGTAGCTTCGAATGACATGTTATGTATTGATGGAATGCAATTTTATGTTAATTATGAATGATATATATGATGTTAAATTAATTAAATGTTTATTTTTTATAATTTTAATAGTGTTATTTTGTATATTTTATTACCTTTATTTGAGTTTTTTAAATAATTTTATGATATATAATAAATAAAATTAATTATATATATTGAACGTGTTCCCAGCGTGTCGTGTCCCCTATTTTTTGGAAATTTGCGTTTTTGCGTGTCGGTGTCGTGTCGTGTCGTGTCGCATGGTGATGTCCGTGCTTCATAAGCTGTGGATACTCCTATTGAATTGCATGCAAAGTTTTATGCTTTTGATGGGGTCCTTCTTAAGGATCCTATCGTATTTCGTGAGTTGGTTGGTTGTCTTGTTTACCTTACTGTGACTCGCCCCTCTTTTATACTGTGCACATTTTTAGCTAGTTTGTCTCTGCTCCTCATTCCACCTACTGGGCTGCCTTGTTACATGCTTTTCGATACAGTTGGGGTACCTTGTTGCAATGCTTATTATTGTTTTCCTCTTCGGATTTGACTCTTCATGCCTATGCTAATGCTAATTGGGCTGGTGATATCTCTGATCATAAGTGTACCTCTGGTCTTTGTGTTTTTCTTGGAGATTCTTTCATTTTTTGGAAAAGTAAGAAACATTTTGTGGTTGCTTACTCCATTGCTGAAGTTGAGTATCGTGCCATGGCTCATGCTACTTCTGAAGTGGTTAGGCTTTGTTAGCTTCTTTCAGATATGGGAGTTTCTTTGTCTTCCTTGACTTCGTTATATTGTGACAATCAAAGTGCTGTTCAGATTGCCCATAATTCGGTTTTTCATGAGCATACGAAGCACATTGAGATAGATTGTCATTTTGTTCGGCTGCATCTTTAATTCGGCACTTTTACTCTCCCTTTTGTTCCCTCCTGTCTCTAGTTATTTGATTTCTTTAAGAAGACTCACACTATTGCCCGCTTTCATTTTCTTCTTAGCAAACTTTTGACGCTCTCGGCCCTCTAATTCTCAGTTTGAGAGGCGCTTTGAAATATGTTATGTTTGTGGTCTTGTTATTAAGTTTAGTGATGAAGTGTAGTTTAGTCTTATTATATGTGATTAGGCTTTTAGGGTTTTGGTTATTTTCCTCTTTATATTGTACTTCAATTTTGGTTATTATTCATTCAATACATACATATATTTTGCTCTCTTCTTTGTATCATGGATCACCTTCCATATTCATCACTCAAACGGTCAACCTATATGCCAAATCTAGATATTTGGCACATGTTTGTCTACGGAAATCACCAACGCACTAAATCCTGTAACATCTATGGGTTAACCTGACAAAGTCTTTAATGTTATTTATTTCTTTTTGCTTTTTTCTTGTGTGTGTGTGTGTGTGTGTGGTAGGTTACTTAATGTTAAACTTATTTTGCAGGTCTTGGATGAATGTCTTCGTGCAATATCTGGATTTAAAGGAACTGAAGATCTTTTTGATGATAAATTGTTTGATACCCCATTTACATCTGATTACACTAGGATAAAGAAAATTTCGTCAGCTCCATCATATGGATCAGAGAGCCTAGCTGTTACCAAGGATGAACCGGAAGGATATAGATTGGGGAGTGAGCAGTGGTCTGAGGCAATTGAGAAGCATATGCCTCTGGTTCTGCAGCATTCTTCTGCCATGGTTTGTTAAAGCAACTGAAAATTAGTAGTATCTTTGTTCTTGAAAGTAATGTTTTTATCATATTGAATGCCCAAGTTTCTACCAGTCAATATTTTTTGCCCTCTTGCTCACTTTTTTTCTTTGTCATAGTATGTTCATAAACAATTGAAAGCATTTACTTACAGTTCATATATATCTGTCTCTGAATTTCTTGTTCCCTTTGAGCAATAGGAAGTATCTCGACCAATTGAGTATGCCATAGTTACTAGCATGTTCCTCTTTCTAGTTCAGTATTATGTTTGTCTATCTTAAAGCTATAGAATCTTCTTGTTGCAAAGAAAAAGGATTGATAGACTCTGGGTTGAAATGGATGCTGTCAATTTTTTTTTGAAAGTATGTTTATATAGATCTCACACACTCTTACATAAGACTTAATAATTTATAAGACTCCCAACAATAAATTAAGGCCTCCACGTGGAGACATACCCGAGGTGACTTGGCAGACAAGCGAACCTCAGTACAACTCTAGTGTCAATCTCCGATGGCTCACCTATAGAAATATACATAAAACAGAATGAGCAAGGCTCAGTGAATAATAGCAACTTAAGAAGGTTAATTGAATAAGCAAAACCTTGGATAAAATAAATAGGCAGATACCAACCATATCTAGGTGTTATCCATAACTATATTTCAATACGGTCTCAGGTTCACATATAATACAGAACGGCCTCGGGCCCATATATAATGCAGAACGGCTTTAAGCCCAGTAATATACAGAACGACCATAGGCCCAGTCTTTAAACAGAATGGCTTTAAGCCCTTGAACAGAGTGGCATTAAGCCCTTAAACAGAGTGGCATTAAGCCCAAAATGCAGAACGGCCTCAGCCCTGTTCATGCATGTATGAACCCAAGAGGTGTCTCGTACGGATTCTAGAGGTGACTCACACTGTAGCACTTAGTTCCGTACAACACTTTGTTTCATACCAGAAAATACAGATTGGCCTCAAGCCTAAAAGATCATACAGAATGGCCATAGGCCCAGATTGGCTTTAAGCCCAGTTCATGTATGTATGGACTCAAGAGGTGTCTTGCATGGATTCTAGAGGTGGCTCGCATTGCAGCACTTAGTTCCGTACAATACTTTGTTTCATACCAGAAATCATCAAGTCTTAAAGACCGAACAATCCATATCATGTCATAACATAGCATAACCGGAACGGATAAACAGAAACAGAATAATCTTAGTTTCTTAAGAATACCATTATACAATAGTGCACATAAGTTTCTCATGGTTTAGTTACAGATTAACACAGTTGTCTCGCGTATAACAGAACAAGAATAGTAACTATTACAGAGAGCACATAATAATGTTAAACCTTTGCATTCATATCGTAGGTTCTGAACGACCTCGGGTCCATATGTAACACAACAGAATTATTTCAGATTCATACGGATACACATAGCTTTTCCAATTATTCTGATTCTTCGGAGATATCCATACTCGATGACTCATAATTGAACGGCCTCAGGCCCATTAGTAGCAAAACGGTATGCTCTCATACTTACACTAAAATCGTTATTCAAGAATGAAAATAAGTTTCCTTTATTCATTAAGAAATGACATAATTTACTTCCAGAGAATAGAATGTTAATATTAACTATGAATCAGAACCATACAGAGGTATACACATTTGTTTAATCTTTCATATACGTTAACATAGTTAACCTGCAATTAACAGGGAGCTAATGGTAATTGTTCGCTGTAAGTAAAGCATACTACGACAGTACTACTACTCAAAGTGATCAGCTCCTGGTAGTAATGGGACGATGTCCTCGTCTCGACCTACAAGTATAGTGCACAACACATAATATGAGATTATACTCGATACTTTACTTATTCTCTTTGATCGTTCAATCAATTAGCCATGGTGGTACCAAGCTCATTATTCCTTAATAATTTATAATCAATGTCTCAGAAAACAGGAGAAATTGATGGGGAATGGTTTAGGTGAAGAAATGGTACAAAACTGGTTGACATAAAGTGAACAGTCGTCACTATTTTGGGCATAACTATTTCTGTATTTAGAATTTGGGAGTGAGACCACCGCCATTGGAAACTAGACTTTCGGGGCTTGATTTTAGGCTCAAGAATCACTCAAAACGGAGTCCGGATGCAAAAGATATGCTTGTTCAAAGTTGGCTGGACAGAGTTGTCTCTGCATGTGCGGGGAAACAGTGCCGCAAGTGCGGCCCTGGACAGTTTACAGTCCGAAAATGGCTGAAAAATTGTGACTTCTCATTTTCAAAATCAAACCTCAATTCCATGTAAATCAAAGCCCAAAACCCTTTAATACATGACAAATTTCAAATTATTAATCTCCATCAAACATTATAATCTCAAACTATTACTCAATTTCCAAGCACAAGAACACAAGAACATAATATAGCCATAGTTGGGGTTCAAAGCTCACATCTTCTATATCAATCCTTGATTTCATGTAATTGATGCTTTAAACATAAGGATTCAAGATAGATGATCATACCTTAGTTCAATCTTTGTCTTCCTCTTAATTCTCCTCCATTTCCTCAAGCCTCCATGGTTGATCTCCCTTCTCTTTCTTCAATTCCCTTCAAACCCCCATGATTGTTAAGCTTTTCTTCAAGAATCTTGGTCTCTCTTCTCTTTTCTCCCTCACGGTTCTCTTCTCTCTCTTTTAGATATTTGGCTCCCAAAAGATGAGACCAACCACTCAAAAACATATCTATATATCTAAATAAACACACACACATGGCTTAACACAATAGGGAGAGCCAAACGTGGCCTTACGAATCGCGCAAAATCAAATTTTAATTAAAATTCCCAGGTGACTCTAAAAATTGTGTTGATCATAAATATGTCCCCTGTTCTGGTTTCTAAAGCCTCTAGGGCCTTTAATTTGCAGTACAAAGTTAACCACCCAGATATGCATTAACTAATCAGACAAATTAAATTTCCAATTACTTTTCCTAAATAGCTTTAAAAATTCCCATTAATATATCTATGTACTCAATTCCGATTCCTGAACCCACAAAGGTCGTCAATTTCAATTTTAAAGCCGTGGCTCAACAGTTACTTCCTCAATTTGAACACATATCATTAAATTAAAATGCATTAACCCATAAGGCTGTAAAGGTAATCTCTAGTACGGATTTTGGGGTCGTTTCACTTACAGTTCATATATATCTGTCTCTGAATTGCTTGTTCCCTTTGAGCAATAGGAAGTATCTTGACCAATTGAGTATGCCATAGTTACTAGCATGTTCCTCTTTCTAGTTCAGTATTATCTTTGTCTATCTTAAAGCTATAGAATCTTCTTGTTGCAAAGAAAAAGGATTGATAGACTCTGGGTTGAAATGGATGCTGTCAATTTTTTTTTGAAAGTATGCGAAAGAAGTTTCACAATTGTTGGTTTCATCTAATTCAGATAGCCAAGATGATATCAGAATGAGAAGAGTTAGGTAAAGATAATGTTGAGCATCACACTAAACACTAACTAGTTATTTTTTATAACTATAATCAAGTCAGTGTCCTGAAAAGAGAAACCTTCTGACCTTTTTTGGGCATGGCAGTGACATCCACACTGGTGTGGAAGAAAGCTTCAGGATTTAAAACTACCTTGTTTGGCTTTGGCTTCGTTGTTTGATTAGTCAATAATTCTATAGATGCTTGATAGGGTGTTTTGCTATTTGATCTATTCAGCAAAATGGTGTAGTTTCAATGTATAAGTGAGTTTTTCTCTATTGCAGTAGTTGGTTGATCAGCAACACACTCTATGTAGCTTCTTTTCTGCATGGTGAACCTTCTGATTTTGCTTGGTATATTTGTGAAGGGTGGAAATTATGATGAAATGTTTAGATGACACTTTTTTTCCCCCTTCCTCGGCCTGCCTTTTTCTCTCGTGTGAATTAGAAAGGTTTTACAGTAGTGTTGGTATTCTAAAATGCTGGTATGCTGGTTTGTACAGATTATCTTGACCAGTTTTCTTTCTTCTTGCTTCTAATCCCGAGGTGCAACATTTTATATTGCTCCAAATGTGAATTTCAACTCTCACCTTTAGGTTCATGACAGCTTAAGATTAAGCTTTTCAGTGAAAGTTCCTTCCCCTTGTAAAGAGTCTTGCAAATTGAGCATTTATCTCTTGTTGTATGTTTAGATAATGCCTTCAATATTGGGATTCTCATATAGATTTATTTCATGTTCCCTGGCTAGGGGTTCATTTGTGGGCTAGAATTACGGAAACTACAAATCAGTGTTATGTAATTTGAGAATTTTTAGTTTCTATGGTTGGTATTTTGTTTTTGTGCCCACGTTACTCATCTTGCTGTGCATGTTAAAACTTGATCAGGCGTTGGTACTTATTTTATTGGTTTATCATTAGTGCAGAGTGGGTTCCTTAGCTAGTTTCTTAGTATTCCAGCAAGGATTATCCAAAATTTGATCAGACATCATTCTGCTAGTTCTCTGGATTTATTTATTGAATTGGTTTACTTCTTCCAAAGGCTGCATAGTTGATTTAATTTGTGTGATGAATGAACATTGGCTATTTCAGTAAGTTTCTTTGCTAGCTGCTGCCACATGCATTTACTGGTTGTCTAGCAGCAATCATGCTTCTTCTATTAACAAACCATCCATTTGTCAAATGATGCCTCAAATTATTCAATGCTCATATGAAAGCTTCCATTACATGACCTGAACTCATTGTTTATTTTCTTTGGAAGGTGAGGGCTGCATCAGTTACTTGTTTTGCGGGAATAACTTCTTTTGTTTTCTCTTCCCTACCAAAGGAGAAGCAGGACTTCATTCTTACTTCCTCTGTAAGTCTTCCAAAAAACAAAAAAAAATGTAATATTGTCAGTAAAACAAAGATAACTTCATTTACTCATTTGTCCATTTTACCTGCAACACCTTTGTAGGTCAATGCTGCTCTGAATGATGAGGTTTCTTCAGTCAGATCTGCTGCTTGTCGCGCCATTGGTGTCATCACATGTTTTCCCCAAATTGCTCAGAGGTAATACCAACATATTGTAAACTGGTGAAATCCGTTTGGTACTTACCAAATAGACAGAAATTTACGAGGAATATAAATCATGTAGTGCAGAGATCCTTGGTAAATTTATCCATGCTGCTGATATTAACACTCGCGACCCATTGGTCTTGGTAATATTTCTGGTTTCATCTGTATGTGTGTGCAAATGTGAAATTTACCATTCCTGTACATTTTAAGATTTGTATCTTATGCATGTAAATAATTCCTGTTAATAGGTGCGTATTACAGCGTCTTGGGCTTTAGCAAATATATGTGACTCTCTCCATCATTGTATTAATGCTGTTACCTCCAAAAGGTGTTCTGTGGGTGAGCTTAAGCTTTATTAGTGTGATTTATCATATATTTCTTTCGTAGAACTGGATTCAGTTATTTGACTAAATATTTCTTTGATGTGTTAGATTTGAAGGTGGCCTCCCATTTAATTGTACTCTTAATTGAGTGTTCCTTGCGACTGACAAAGGACGGTGACAAGGTAAACACATTAAGTTGCCATTTTTTTCTCTCTTCACATTCAGGTATAATGCTTTGCCACCACAAACCAGAATCGTTTATGAAGTACAATTTGTTTTTACTTTCTATTTCTCTCTAGCATGCACCTGAATGAATTCCATATAGTGGTCTTCTTTTAGATTTTTAACGTTAAATGTTGTCTCTGATGGTGGTTCAGATGGATGAAAAAATCTCTGTTTTTGTCTTTTTTTATTGAAATTATCTATTCAAGCTATTGTAGAAACGGGAGCTGCAGCAGTGTCACTTTAACTACCAAGAAACATGCTGAAATTCGTTGACCTATCACATGTGGCCAACAAATTGGCTCCACCATCATGAGGGATGCACCTCGCCCACTTGGTGTTCACTCCATCAGCTCTTCACTATGCACCTCGCCTTCTAGGTGGTTCACTCACCTCATTGAGGTTCAGCTTGATTCCAGATCGTACCCAGAGTTATATATAGGCTGCCTGAATTTGGAGGAGGAACAGGGGACTCCTAGGGGCCAGTGTGATGAAGAATGGCTATTAAGAAATTCGTGTCAACAATGAGATTGATTATAAAACCATAATGTATGAAGAATTGATCCAAAGAGGGATAAAAAATCAAGAAGAATAAGAATTGTGAAAGAACCAAGGGTCGAAACTCTAATCTCATAGAACGGCCACAACCTTATAACTCTTTCAATATTATTAATCCAAAGCTAACTAAAACTATTACAAAAAAGCCATATATATAGGCAACGTTAAAAACCCTAATTACTGGTTACCTAAAATAAAACACTAACCTAATAAAACTCTAAATTAAATTAAATATCATAAATAAATAAAATATGAAATCTCTAATTTCTCCTTTGTCCCATGCTTTTCTGTTCCCTATCATTTCTTCCCGTTATGAAGATAAAAGTACTCCATAATATAAAGCTTGTGCTGGAGAAAACCCATATAACATGTGAACGATGACGTACTTCCTCAAGCCAAATAATAATACTAGAAATCTACAATCTAAGGAAGATGCAGTGATGAGCAACAAACTGATGTCCACAAAATGTCTGGGGTGGGAGAAATAAAAGACCCTGTGCTGGCGGTGGAACAAGGATTGCTCCTGTACAAGTATGAAAAAACATAGCAAGAGCTCTATGGTGCCCTGCTAAGATAACATATCACCCGGTTGGAAAATTGGACCAATATTAATATTCAATGATAAATCAGTGAAACATGCATTTGGTTGAGATACAAGAAAGACTATAGCATGTTCATGAAATGTTAATGTGTAATATGTGGCTGGAGAAGGAGCTTGGGACAGAGGAGAAACAATGATCCCTTGACTGTGAAAATATTCAATAAAATTCATAAGAGAACTTGTGATAATAGGAAGAGAGTCATGGAAAGACTTAGAATTAACAGATGGAGGAGAGGAATGATCAACGAGACTAAGTGTATTCTCTACATTACACAAACACTTAGGAGTGACTGACTCAGGAGAAGCAAACTCTAGAGTTGGACTGTTGAGTGCATGCGGAGTTGTTTGAGGCAAAGTAGAGTCCAAAGGAGAAGGTTTAACATTTGACTCAGGTTCTTTATTTACTTTATGATGTTGAAAACACGAATAAAAAATATGGCTATCATTCAAGCAGTTATGATATTTATAAATAGATTTAATGTGTTGATCACTAGTCGAAGTGTCCACATTTTTCTAGGATTCACTCACTTTGGTTCAAAGGGGACAGATGTGGATCACCCAGGATAGGAGAGGAAGACCTAACAGTTCCCTTTTCGGAGGGATCTCATATTTATTAGGTTCTAAAGTTGAGGGTTTGCATTTAGCTCTTATATGTCTTGCAGTAGGTTTCGCTGATGACAACTTTAGTTTCTAGTGACGATCCTTAAAATGTAGGTGTTCTTCCTAACAAAGTACCGAGCATCTACATCATAAATCCAAGGATGACCGAGGAGCACGTGACCTAAATTCATGGGTAGGACATTGCACACAATTTATGCTGAAAAACACCCAATTGAATGGGCACTAGACAATACTAAAAAACAAGCAAATATGTTTTATTTATCCATGCAATCTTATATGGCTGAGGATGAGGTTCGGGCTTAAGTTTGAACCTAGTGATGGCGGACTTGGATACTACATTAATGGAACTAACTCCATCAATGAGAAGCTAACAAATTTCATCGTCACACTTAATAAAAGTATGAAAGATATTTGGACGTTGTGAAGCCTCAATATCAGAAGGGGTGGGGATAATATATCACATCACATTAATGCAGGCACAAGGAATCTCAACATTTTCCTCAAAACTCTAAGAGACTCATGGTGGTAGACATTCAAATGGACTCGAGTTTAATCAAATAATGGACCTCTTACAAATTTTACAAACTCCCAATCAATAAAAACATTAAAAACAATTTTCTAATGGAAGTATGCATACCTTTCTCGAAGTCCAAGTTGCCATTTGATGCTCCAAGATACGTGCAATGGGTATTTAAAATAAAAATTCATACTCTCCAATTGGTTCTCAGGTTTATTTATTTATTTATTTTTATTTTTTTGGATTAGTAAGAATTGGTTCACAACAAAGTTGTTAATCCCGTACCGGGCAAGGTACCGTTTTTCCCATTGGTATGGTTTGTACCGGTACCGGTATGTTTCCAGATACCGTTTTGGATTTATCGCAAAAAATATATATATATATATTTATAAAAAGTATTGTCTATTACCAAATAATTTAAGCATACAATATCATGAAACAAAAATTTATGTACTTCAAAGCATTTCCATGTCTACTACAGCAACGCCACAAGTTTAAAAAATAATCAGAACGTTGAATTTTGGGTTAAAAGAATAATTAAACAATTTCAAAGAAGTTTTGTTTTGTACAATGCATCTTGACAATTACCCCAATAATGAATTTCAATATATACAGTCCAAAGAAATGCTTTAAACCTCCGACATTTGGTAATAGCATCATTAACTCATTCAAGATAAAACAAAATATAAAGCAAAAAATATTTACAACAATGTTTGTTTAAAGCATTTTATCAAATACCTAGTAGACATAATGACAAGTTAAAGAAGTCCAAGAAACAAATTCCAAACAAACAGTCAGAGATCCAAAGGGCAATTTATATAGAACGTTCATAGTCAAACCTAGAAAGAAAGAATGAAAGTATATTCATATCATAGCCAAACTGAACGCACTGATATATATATATAGAGAGAGAGAACCCTGTGTGGTTTATTAATGTTCAGAGAACAGAAACTAGAACAGTGAACAAACAACAATCACTCAATTTCAAATCTAAGAAAGCAGTGAGCAAGCAACAGTATTCGATGGACCTTCCCTGGAGAACTGAAAACGTAAGTCTAGGGCACAGTCACTCTTTAGGCAGTAGTTGAAAGAGCAAAGGGTAAAGACAATAAGGTTTCTTAATTCTAGTACCGACAAATTTATTCTTTCCGGCCAAAATTTTCTGGAATGGCTGAACTGGCAGGAACTGGGTGGTAACTTCGGCGATATGGAAATATGCCATACAGTTCCCATTTTTTGATTGCTATGGTAAGTACCAGATGATACCGGCCGGTATGGTACGGTATTAACAACTCTGGTTCACAATTGTGGGGCTACACTGAAAATAGTTGGGCTATTAAGGGGTCAAGTTACTGTGACAATGGGCGGAACAGGTTTGGGCGTTGGCTACTGAGTTGGTTAGTTGGGTAATTAATGAGGGGTTTAATTTGGTTAGTTGGTTATGGGCTTGGGCTGGTATTGGGTATGGATTCAGGAAGCTGGGTCTGCTGGAATTTATATGGATTGGTTGGGTTTAGATTTGGGCCTAGTTTTTTGGTTTTGTTTTGTTTTTGGGAGGGCTGGCCAGACCTGGGTTATGGGTTTAGATATGCTAGATTGGGTCTTGGACTATTATGGGTGTAGCTTATAAAGCACGGACGTGGACATGTCATCACACGTTGGGGACACGTTCAATATATATAATTAAATTTATTTATTATATGGCATAAAATTATCAAAAAAAAAAAAAAAACATTTCATTGATTTAACATCATATATATCAGTTACAAATAACATAAAAATTGCATTCTATCAATACATAATATGTGATTCCAAGCTACCAACCATCATTTGTTACAAAATGCATGAAAACGAAACCACAAAATGTAAAATTATCCAATGTACCAACAATCATAATCTATTACAAAATCCACGAGCATCAGAAAATGTAAACCTAAGTAGAAGAAACTAGTACAACATCTTCACCATCGCCTCCATCTTCTCCTTCATCTGTAAATAGGACCATCTCCATAGCCGGTTCATCAAGTGAGAGGTTAGCTATCCGAAGCATTCTTATATCATCAAGTGAGTCAAAGTTATCTCTCGTAATGTCTCACGTTTTTGTCTCTCCTTGCAAGTATTGGGAGCTCCTCCTTGATAAAAGACAAAGATTGCTATGAATGAACACCAAGTCCTCTGCTTGTTAAGGGACCATTTTGTTCTTTCTCATTGAGTGAATAAAGGAGTAAGTATTCCAATTTCTCTCACAACAAGATGAAGAGGCGGGTTGCACAAGTAGTCTCAAAATTACTTTTTGAAGAGTTTGTGCATATGCACCATATGCACATCACCAAATATAAGGATCCATGTGCCACCTATTATGAATGGAATCATATTCGGAGAATGCTTCATTAACTCGAAAATTTTCCATACTTTGTTATCACCTTGGTTCGCTCCGTGATATCTTCAAAATACCTCTTAAAATACGTGTTCCTCTCACGTGCCACCTCTTCATCCCTATGTGAAGGAACTGTATTTTGATCCTCATGGAGCCACTCATCACTATAGTACCTACAATACAAAATAGGAAAAATAATTATTTCAAGAAAGACTAGATAAGTCCATTAAAATAAAATATTTAAAACAAATTTAAATGTGGTACTTACTTTGGATTCAATGAATGT